ATGTTGCTTAAAATTTACAGATTGTTTATACGACTAAAACTTGATTATGGTTCTATTCTTTATGGCTCCGCAAATTGCTCTTTACTTAAAAAGTTAGACAGTATTCATGACTCTTGCATCAGACTAGCTACTGGTGCTTATCGGACAAGTCCTGTCATTAGTATTGAAGTTAAAGCACAAGAATCCTCACTTCAGCACAAAAGATTTCAATCACTGGCAGGCTACGTCACTAAACTAGTGAGCCATCCGAGTAATCCTGCTAATGAAGATTGCTTTGAGGCGAGGGCTGAGATCCCATTCTATGATACCTTCTTTTCTAAGTTCAATTTTTCTGACGTTATTCAAGCTGCAAATCTCAATTTTCCTCCTTGGACCCCTCCTGAAATTAAAATTCACCTCAACTCCTGCTCTTCTCCCAAGTCCGACACATCCCATGCCGAATTACGAAGCAACTTTTTCTCGACATTGGAAAATTATCAAGATTATGAACAAATCTACACTGACGTCTCCAAACTTGAGAACAACCAAACAGGATGAGCTTTTATCACGCAAAATGAGTCCAGATCGTTCAAGCTGTCTCCTAATGCCTCAATTTTCACTGCCGAAGCCTTTGCTATACTCCAAGCATTAAATTGTCTTCAAGAGACAGAAGGTAAAAAAGCCATCATATGCTCTGACTCACTGAGTGTTCTGTCTGCTCTCCAAACTGTCCCTGGGCCCAATCCACTCATTTTCCAAATCCAAAATTCCCTACATCATCTTCCCTCCCTGAATTTCTCCATTGCTCTCTGCTGGTGCCCGGGACATGTAGGCGTTGCTGGAAACATAGAAGTTGATGCTCTGGCAAGAGAAGCAGCTTCATCTGCTGGCCCCTTCCTCCCCTCAACTGTCACTGCCGAGGACCTAAACAAGTACATCAAAAGAGAAAGCTTCACAAATTGGCAACAATAGTGGACAGTGTATTGCCAACATAAAAATCCTCCAATGTCCAATAATGTCCATATTCCCTCAACTTTCTGGTCTACCACGAGCAGATACAGTAAAATTAACCAGGCTGTGCATTGGGCATACGTCATTCACCCACCAATACATAATCAAGAAAGTCCAACCCCCAACCTGCATCTCTTGTAATGTCCCCCTCTCAGTTAAACATGTTTTAATAACTTGCCGTACATATCAACAATTAAGATCCAAAATTTTTCATCCGCTTTCTGATCTCCATACCATCCTTTGAAGTATTTTCGTGAAATCCCTCTCTTTCCAAACGAATTAATCTCCAAATTTAATGTATTCTTTCCTTGTCCTAACTCTTAATTTTGTACTACCTTTTTTTGTGACCCCTACTTTTTGAATTTTTAAATTCTGTACTACACCATTTTGATCTCTCCTCTAAGGTGTTGATGGCTCAATGGAGATGTTGCATGTGTGAGGAATTTGCGATTTGACTGTTGATTCTTATGTAAAAGTTCGCGAGAAACACGATGGTGCCACTGGTTTTCTCTGAAATCAACTCCCAAGCTCCAAAAAAGCTCTCAAGTTGACGCCAAAATTGAGGGGATATCCCACCCTACCCTGACAGTCCACCTCTACATCAAGACCAACACTCCATGCAAAAATAGGGAGCAAATACATTAGCAGTGATGCCGTGTTTTCAGTTTTATAGTCCCCAAATGAAGTGGCAGCCCTGTCAATGTATTTGCTTTCTATCTTTGCATGGAGAGTTTGTCTAGATGTAGAGGTGGACTCTCAGGGTAGGGTGGGATATCCCCTCCACTTTGGCCTCAACTTGGGAGCTTTTTTTGAGCTTGGGAGTTGATTTCAGAGAAAACCAGTGGCACCATCGTGTTTCTCGCTAAATTTTACACAAGGATTAACAGTCAAATCGCAAACTCCTCCCACATGCAACATCTCCATTGTTAAAAGCACCAAATAAACGTATTTACCAACCAACCATTCATACATACACGCGTAACTACCTTTTTGTGACCCCTACTTTTTAAATTTTTAAATTCTGTACTACACTATTTTGATCTCTCCTCTAAGGTGTTAATGGCTCAATTGTTAAAAGCACCAAATAAACGTATCTGTCCAGGACTAATTCATTAAAACGACTCGAAGGACCATTATGTCGGGGCCTTAATCCCTACTTTAGTTTACAGATATGAAAGGCTACCGAGAGCGCTCGGGCCTGGCTTCAGCTCCCTTGAGCTGGGGTTCCTAGCTAACACCGGGCTCGAGCCGGGGTCCCTATACTGCAGTTCACCGAGCGAACCGGGGTCCCTATCTAAGCTCTCCGGGCTAACCGGGGCTTAACAACTAAAACACCGGGCGTACCGGGGATTTACCTGCATTGACACCGGGCGTGCCGGGGAAACCTTTACCTGATCGATCTTGGCACCGGGCCGACCGGGGAACCGATGAATGTTGAAAGTTCACTCGTGAGTGGCATTGAATCAGCGCTTGTACCGGCGTGCACCTAGGACGTGGGTAAATCGGTATCCCGCGCCCGGCATAGGACGTTGAGGAACAAAAAGTAATACTGAGAAAAGAACTTAAACACCTTTAACCTTGAAACCTTCTTTGCTTTATTTACATTTATTTACAACTCTGGGAACCAGACAAATCATTACTTTCCTTCCGTAAACAAAATAAAGGGACCTTAATAGACGCTATTAGTGCAACGTCACAGAAAAGCGATATCTATCGATTTTTTCACATTGGTAGCATGGAAAGAGGTTATGCCAATGTTATTGTTTGGATCCAATTCGATATAATGGAGAATCCCTATGATGACGTCGCCACTAATAGCGTCTATAAAACATAAACCACCTTGGCGACGCGAGCGCTCTCTAGGGGAGCGCCGCCGAAGCTGGCCGCGGCCGGCGTCGCGGCGCGACTAGCTGTGCGCTAGACGGCGCGGCGCGGCAGCAGAAATTACGCGCTAGAGGCGCGTACAGTATCTACCAACCAACCATACATACATACATACATACATACATACATACATACTTTCCTTGTCCTAACTTAATTTTGTACTACCTTTGTGTGACCCCTACCTTTTAAATTGTTAAATTCTGTACTATATTTTGATCTCTCCTCTAAGGTGTTAATGGCTCAATTGTTAAAAGCACCAAATAAACGTATCTACCAACCAACCATACATACTCCAAATTGAATGTATTCTTTCCTTGTCTTAACTTTTAATTTTGCACTACCTTTTTTTGACCTCTACTTTTTAAATTTTTAAATTCTGTACTCCACAATTTTGATCTCTCCTCCAAGGTGTTAATGGCTCGATTGTTGAACGCACCAAATAAACGTATCTACCAACCAACCATACATACATTTACACTTAAGGTGTTAATGGCTAAATTGTTAAAAGCACCAAATAAACGTATCTACCAACCATACATACACAAAGGCTGATACTCTGGCGAAAGAAGCCGCTTCATCTGCTGGCCCCTTCCTCCCCCTGACTGTCACAGCCGAGGACCTCATTAAGTACATCAAAAGAAAAATCTTCACAAATTGGCAACAAGAGTGGCTTATTGCCAACATAAAAACCCTCCAATGTCCGTATTCCCTCAACTTCCTGGTCTACCGCGAGCAGATCAAGTAAAATTAACCAGGCTGTGCGTTGGGCACACGTCTTTCACCCTCCAACATATAATCAAGAAAGTCCAACCCCCAACCTGCATCTCTTGTAATGTCCCTCTCTCAGTTAAACATGTTTTAATAACTTGCCCTACATATCAACAATTAAGATCCAAAATTTTCCCTCCACTTTCTGATCTCCATACCGTCCTTTCAAAGCATTTTCATGAATCCCTCTCCTCTTCAAACGAATTAATCTCCAAATTTAATGTATTATTTCCTTGTCCTAACTTTTAATTTTGCAGTTCCTTTTGTGATCCCTACTTTTTAAATGTTTAAATTCTGTACCATATTTTGATCTCTCCTCTAAGATGTTAATGGCTAAATTGTTAAAAGCACCAAATAAACGTATCTACCAACCATACATACATACATACCAAAACACGTACTTATGGACTGCTCTGCCCTCAGATATCTCCAATCACAGATCTACTCCCCTACAATCAACAGAAATACAAACCCACTTACATGCGATGAACCCAATGTTACTACCAAAATTCTGAAACTCTTCACCTCTCTTAATTTAAAAATCTAAAGTTTCGTATGTACTCCCTTTCTCAAAATTCTCTGTTAAGACGTTAATAGCCTGTGACGCTGAATGCCTTAAAATATACTAACTAACTAACTACATACATTCAACTTGTGTTCCTGGAACAAGTATGTTAGTAGATGACTCTTAACTCATATTATCTCATTTTCTTTCAAGGAGCTCTGGCATTGGGCTTCAAATTTTTGTTTATTTAAAATGCAATGAGCTTTCTCATTGATTTTTATTTTTTGCATTTTTCAAAGACTCACTAAAACACATTACCTAATTCACAGGAATTTTTTAAAATCAATATTAATTCTTGATAAACAAATTCAAAGTTGCGCATTTTGAGCTCACATTTGAAAGTCCATTGTTCAAAGCATCAATATGGTATCCAAAAGTATCCCTTTCCTGATCGCGTCCTAAGAATTTTTTCGTGATGGAAGGGAAGTTCTTGGACATTATCTTAGCTCAGCAATGCTTGTTTTAATGAGCGCTCAAAATGCACAACTCTGAACTCGCTGCTTGATGGTTATTATTGTATTAAAAAAAAACGGGAAAATTTCTAAGAACTAAGGTTACTCTTTAGGTATTGTTCACAAATGCAAACTATTAAAAATTACTGCACGAGCTCATTCAAAAATTTCATCAGTAAGAATTCGTTTTCACAAGCTTGTTTTTTCAGTCTCTCTAATTTTGACCTAACAGGTTCCTTTTTCAGGAGACTGCTCTTGTTGTATAAATAATTTCTTCTTTTTTCTTTAGTGTTTGTATACGATATTCTTTTGTTTAGTGCTGTTTACAATCTCTGTTCCAGGCTAGTGATTCTTACCTTGAAATGGCAATTGGCAATGCCCCATGGCCAATTGGTGTCACCATGGTTGGTATCCACGCCCGTACTGGTCGAGAAAAGATTTTCTCCAAAAATGTTGCACACGTTCTGAACGATGAAACACAAAGAAAATTTATTCAGGCTCTGAAAAGACTAATGTCGCGGTGTCAGGAATTTTTCCCCACTGATCCATCTAGATGTGTGGAATATGTACCCCCGGAAACATAAATTTCTTTGTTTATCTTCTGAATGTTTTCATCTGTTACTTCAATGAATTTTTCCTGAAAAAAAGAGGGTACCTCTCATTTTCGTAGAATGGAGTGATCCATGGTTTGTTCTGAATGCAATTGTGTAATGCAAACTTATCAAAATTAAAACAAACGTAAGTTACCATGAACGAGGTTTAAGGTAGAGTTGACTCCTTATGCCAGGATGCACTTGTTTGCATATGAGCTGGCTTTAGTAGAAGGAAAGAGGGAAATATAAACATGCTTGCTCACTTCCCGTCTGTGTGTGTTTATTATTTTCCAAGGTTTCTTTCTTTTTACACTCTGAGTTGTTCTTGCAGGTTCACTCTTGCCCCCTTTTTTCTTATCCTTCGTATATCTATCATATATTCATCTGTTGGATGTTTTATTTCGATCAGATGGTTGCTTCACGATGATGTACCTTTCTACTCTAACCTAGGATTGGCAAGATGTTTTTTATACCTAATCCTTCTCTGCCTTTTCAGATATTTTAACTGGATAAATAATTACACTTGTATTTTCATTTGACATTTTTACTTAGTTAATCCTTGACTTCACTTTTTGTGTTTTACGGGTAGCATTTTATTTGAACAACATTGTAAATGAAATACCTGTGGATTTTTGATACATTATCTGTTAATAAGCTAAAAATGGAAATTTCATTGAATTTGTTCCATGGAATCATATGATTGGTCCAGTAGCGATTGATAATGTTCTTCCTGAATAGAGTGTAATGAAAGAGGCTTTATTTAAAAATTCGGGAAAATTGTGTAAAGTAAGATGTGCCCTGAATAAGCTTGCTCTCATCAGCTTTTTTCCGCTTATAGTGTCTGAGAGTTGCAAACCTAGTGAAAGACTCCATTCCGAAAGGATTTGCGTTTGCATACTTGTATTGACATGTTAAGTTCAACTGAGTTAATTAAATTAGCTTGTACAAAAACCACTAATGCCCCTCTTTTTCTAATTCTGGAAATAACTGTATGCACAAGCAAATTGTGTTCAACATCTGTAAAACCTCTAAAAACAGAGGTATAATAGGCCCAGGATCTTATTCCCTCTCTCTGACTAAAAGCCTGTATCGTTGGCCAGTCAAGAAGAATCTGAATGGCTGAATCTACAGCTTTGGATTGGTCCTCTTTCAAACATCTCTGACCTAGGTCTCAAGTCAGGGTAGATTACGCTCAGGTATCAGCCCTAGGGAATTACACTTAAAAGATTAGAAAAAAAAGGTTAGCCTGGAAATTTTATCAAATTTTAAAAATAGCTTATTCTACGAAAGAAGTTAATTTTTTAGAGCAAAATGGCTTTCTTTTGATGATGTAAAAGAAAGTCTATCGAAATGTATTTTTGTTTTTCCTCCTATAAAATTGAGGTGAGAAGCATGTTGTTAAAATAAAACACTATTTTCTTAAAAAGTTGTCCTTTATTTGAGCTTAATGTCTTTCATATTGTCAGCAAAAATTGCTAAACTTACTAAGAGAAAAAAAAAACAATGAAATAACTTCTCTATTTCCTCCAAGAACTTTACTCCAGAGTTGTTAAATTAACTCATTTCTTTACTCCTTGCAACTGCTGCATTGATTGCGTCCATCATTCCACCTCTGAAACAGTAACACTTTCTTGTGTTGAAAATAATAAGAGAACAAGGAACACTTTTTCTGCATGAAAATTGATTGATAGGGTGCGAGACAACCTTCATTCACATCTGGAAAATACATTTTGCAGTAAGGAACCACTTACAATAGATTTCTAGTTCATACAGAAGAACACATTGCTTCATAGGGGAACTAATAGTAATAGTAACTAGTAGTAGTAGTAGTTCCTAACTGCAAAATGTAGTCCGATTTTCTTTTCAACACCGCCACACTGTTGTTACAGGAAGAATAATCTAAATTTCCTGCTTAAGTATGACTGAATTTCAAGCTCTTGGTATTAGGAAATTTTAGAATATCACGCAAGCATGTGAAATTAGAGACTAAGGAGGGGTATCGATAAGGGCCTTTTTTGGCCCCATCCTAGAACCTGGTTTATGGGGGTTTTCCAAGTTGACTCAATGTAGTTTACGGAAATAATCCTTATTTAGCCCACAGGCCACTGGATAGGTTTTAAACGGTTGCCTAAACATAGGTCTGCAGGCGTATTTTAGCAAAATTTCGGGTTTTTCTATCACTCCGAGGCTTTTTTGACACCGAGCGCATCGTCTAACTAAAACGAGCTTTTGATCTGTTATCAAGGAGGCTGTGGGACACATTTTAACCCTGGTTTGGTTCTAGTTAGATGATGCGCTCCTAGTTAAAAAAAACTTTTTACAAAAATCGACGTTTAAGGGACATCCGCAAAAATCTTAGGGAAACATGTCTCTCGAACTGTATACACGCTATGTATATTTTTGAGGGCAGTTATCAAGCCCTGTTAGACTCTCACAAGGAGATTTCCTTCAATTGTGTCCAAAAAAAAATTGAATTTTCCGTACAAACAGCTGTGAAGATAACGGATTTTGGAGTAGTGGAGGCATATTTTAACAAAACGCATAACATCAATGTAAATCTGGAAATTTATGCGGGTTTTCCAAGTTGACTCAATGTTTTTTACGGAAATAATCATGATGTAGCCCATAGGCCACTGGATGCGTGTTAAACGGTTGCCTAAACATAGGTCTGCAGGCGTATTTTAGCGAAAATTCGTGTTTTTCTATCAATCCGAGGCTTTTTTGACACCGAGCGCAACGTCCAACTAAAACAAGCTTTTGATATGTTATCAAGGAGGCTTTAGGACACATTTCAGAAATTGAGAAATTCAGAAATGAATTATAGACAGAATACTATCCTTTGAGGGTGAATGCCTCTTATTACCAAGCAATTATACCAAAATTGCTCTTGAAATGTCGTTCCTTAGCATTTGAAGATCTGCCTCAGTAGAAAACAGAAGTAGTTTCCAAATCACCTCTCCCTGCTCAGGAAGCTTACTAATGATGAAAGCCACAAGTAAGGGCACAAACTATGATTATTCATGTTATCATCTAACAGGCACGCTACTTGACTGTCGTAATACTGCTAAAAATGGTAATACTGAGCAGTGTAGTGGAAGAGGGGCGTATCCACAAAAACTGAGAACAATTTTTCTTCTTGCCCGCTTGATTTCTTGGATCCTCCTTGATTGACTGTGGTCATATCAAAGATGGTACATGGAACATTAGTTGGATTACATTTTGCAATAAGGGACCACTATTTCTGGCCCATTTTAGAAACAACATACATGCCATTGGTTTCTTTATGCAGATATGTGCTTTAATGGAAGAGCCAGAGATAGTGGTTCCTTATTGCAAAATGTAATCCGGTTGATTTTCTCATTCAGAAATATAAAGAATTGTCGAAGAAATAAAGTTATTTCATGTTATCTGAGCCCTCCTTCTTAGAAGCCGTTCAAGTCCCGTCTAATAAGTAACCTGAGGGTCATTCCATGTCAACTCAACGAGGTTTTGAACCTTGACCTCTCGGATCATGTTCAAACTTGGTGTGCTGCGAGTTCCTGTTGAAAAAGAAATATTCCCCAAATTTTAGGTCATTTGGTCGCTCCGTTAATTTTATACAGAATTTCAAAGATTGGAAAAAATTGAGTTTTTTTATGACCGATAAAACTTTGAACGGCTGTTACTTTTCAACGGTTCATCGGAAAAACTTGAACTAGGTCTTGTTTTGAAGCCTAGAGGTTCTTTTTTTTTTAAAAAAAATAAAGAAAAAATTGAAAAAAAAATTTGAAATTTTTTTGAAAATTTTGAATTTTCAAATTTGAATTTTTCAAAAAGGGCATTTTTTAAAATTTTTGTTTTCTTTGTAGGTGATCCTTACATAATCTTAAAGCATTTCCCAAAGTTTCATTGTGGGCCGCCAAGCGGTTCCTGAGTTATAGCAATAAACGTACCGTAATCCTACTCAAAATGCATCATATGTACCTAATATATATATATATATATATATAAAGTCATGCATAGTAGGGACAGATTCCCTAGACATGGCTGTTAATAGATAATAGGATGTTTTAAATATCTATTTTACAAAAGGTGATACTAAACAATGAGCATCTATGAAAACATCCTATTCCCACTATTTAGAGCCTATTATCTATTGACAGCCATGTCAAGGGAATCTGTCCCTAGTATGCATGGCTTATATACATATAGTAGGTACAAATGATGCATTTTGAGTAGGATTACGGTACGTTTATTGCTATAACTCAGGAACCGCTTGGCGGCCCACAATGAAACTTTGGGAAATGCTTTAAGATTATGTAAGGATCACCTACAAAGAAAACAAAAATTTTAAAAAATGCCCTTTTTGAAAAATTCAAATTTGAAAATTCAAAATTTTCCAAAAATTTTCAAATTTTTTTTTCAATTTTTTTTTTTTTTTTTAAATAAAAAGAACCTCTAGGCTTCAAAACAAGACCTAGTTCAAGTTTTTCCGATGAACCGTTGAAAAGTAACAGCCGTTCAAAGTTATATCGGTCTTAAAAAAGCTCAATTTTTTCCAAACTTTGAAATTCCGTATAAAATTAACAGAGCGACCAAATGACCTAAAATTTGGGGAATATTTCTTTTTCGATAGGAACTTGCAGCACACCAAGTTCGAACATGATCCAAGAGGTCAAGTTTCAAAACCTTGTTGAGTTGACATGGAATGACCCCTGAAAAACATGAGATTTTCAAAGATCCTTAACTTTCCTTCAGGTTGTTGGTTGGATAAGTTTTCCATTACTGCCTTCGAGATGAGAACTCACCGAATTCCAGCTTTTTCAAGAGCATAGATAGCTGCGATGGTTGTACCGCCAGGTGAACAAACCTGGTCCTTTAACTGCCCTGGGTGAGTATTCGTCTCGAGCACCATCTTGGAAGCACCAGCCATTGTTTGCGCAGCCAACTGGAGAGCCATATCGCGAGGCATCCCGTTTTTCACAGCACCATCAGCCAGAGCTTCGATTATTATGAAACCCTGTGGAAAAAGCATTTATATTCAAAGCAAAAAACAGTCATGAACTTAAAGCTCTAATTTTCAGCCAAGTGGAAAAAATACACTGCCCTTCATCCTGATACAGAATTTTGGAAAACTGGGCATTCTAAATTTAGGATAGAGGCAAACATTTTGTAAATGGTGAGTTGATGGCTGATGAACTGATGATCTCTAAGATCTGATGCTGTCAGTTGTTTTGGAAATAAAAAAGCTGTAGAATTAATGCAATGATGCAAAAATTACAAACAATTTACCTTTTTGCCTTAAGTAGTAACTGGTTGAGACAACTCTTTCAGCCAATGATCTTTAGAAGCTACGTAATCTCCATTTATAGGTTGGATTGGGCTTAGAAATTTCCACCATTGAGTCTTACCATCTGATTATTGAGTTTAAGTGTGGTAACCTCAGAACTATCAGCTGCTTGACGATATTCTCTGCATACATTCATTATATTTTTACTCCAAGTTTTATTTGGGACAGAGTTTCACAGGAACGCACCATGTTGCGTTCTGCGAAAAAATGAGTTGAGAATAGTTTTGTATCTAACGAGTAAAAAATTTTCTCTTGTTAAAAATTCCAAGTTAAGAAAAAATATTTTGAACAAGAGAATAATAGTTAAATTTTGTCCTCAACATTGAGTCTTTTGAAGGAATACAACTTCACACCTCTCTCCTGGTTCACACTTGACGCAGCTTGGTGCGTTTCTGTTAATGCTCCTTCTATTTAGACTTTGGCTTTGGACTTCAGTTTAATAATAATAATATGATGCAGATGAGGGAAAACCCAAATCCAGGCAGACCTGAAGACGGAGCGACAGAGTAGCAAAAGATAATGAGATATATTCTAACACTAAAAGTCTATGTTCGATAAGTTATGAAGTATCACACCCAAAAATTATAATGGCTCAGGTCAGCTAATGCGATAGGGTCTATGCTATGGTTGGTTCCACTTTGGGCTCATCATCGGTGATGCATAAAGGACCCCACACTAATAACTAATTCCCAGCACTCAAAATGTTTGAGTTCTTTAAATGTTTTTCCTGCAAAACCGTCTGAGACTCTTGAAAATTGTTCCCCTTTTCATGATTCTGTTTTCTAGATACTAACCACAGAAAGTACAATTTTGAGCCTGCTTCAGTTGGCAGCAACAATGAGAGAATCATTTATGAGCCGAACAGGGAAGGGAAAACCCTTGCGCAAGTGCAGCACCAGAGCAAGGTAAATGAAATATTCATTCATGGAACAGACGTTAACTCGCAATGATGCCAATTGCTGACTACCGCATACTCTATTGACTCGCACGACTGTAACCTTAATAGTCGATATCATGGCACAATGGATAAAATTGACATGGACCTTGGAATTTTCTGAATAGCTACATGTCGAAAATTCGAAAACTCATGTTACAGAAATATACAGCGTAGTCAAAGTTGTCACTTCACGTGCACTGGTTGCTTTGCATACAACACTCAAAATATCAAAAGTGGAGGAAACCGCGGTTTGTACTGTCGAGGAAAATTACTTTAAACACTAAAGTTGCCACGGCCAAAAAGCAATATCTATGTGAAGTTGAACAGAAAGGCTTTCCATTTGGGCATGTTCCACTATTTTTTGTATATCTTTAAGCTGCAACTATCACAACTCTGCGGCAAACTCATTTCACCCATTTTGGACGGGATAGTGAAAAAAAAAAATAAAATAAAAATATCGTACATATGCTGGTCCAGAACCAGCTAAAGCTGCAAAAGTTGAGATCAGAGACTCTGGGATTTCTGAAACGGTTCCATTTTGTGACATCACCGCTTTCACAAGAGCAACATCTTCAGAATCCTTTCCCAATTGATGACAGACAGCTGTTCAGACAAAAATAAGTTAGAATAACATATCAATAATTTAATTATTAAATTTTGGTATAAATCGTTTTGTTTTCCAGCAAACATCTGAAGAAATCAAGAATCCTCAATAAATATTACACAAGTAACAAGCAGATTTGTTGCTGTGAGTCTTCAGAGAGAGCTTCTAAGGATGAAGCAACTGTTAGCAAAGCATCTGAAAAAATTAGTGTAAGAAAAAAATTACCGACAGGTACAGCATATTGAAGATCAATTTATTTTACGAAGTTCAATATTCTAGTAAGCTGGGGTTGGTAGGTCAGAGACAAGTACGCCGTGAGTGGCTGACAAGGTGGTTTATTTTGGGATTGCCTTTTGATATGCACATAGTTAGGTGCTCTCCAGAAGTTCAATTTGAAAGAGATGCTCTGATGTCACCAAAACTGGATGCTTCCACGAGTCTCGCTCCTGCGTTTTTCTGATCAGTCTCCTAGGATAGACTTCAATGAGTGATGTCCAGTGGATGGTCAGTGCATCTTACTTAGTCGTTGGTATTCGCAGTTATGATTTACTTTACCGCAAACATTGCCTTTACACCCATGCAAGCACACCTGCCATAATTGCTGCACTGCTATACGGGGGGCTACCATAGGGTGCGTCAAAAAAAATGAAAGTCTGAAATGTTCCGCTCCCTAGGCGGCAATCAATGACGTTTGGTAAAAAAGCTTGTTTGCCAAAATTTGGGTCAATTTCAACCATTTTAAATGGTGCTAAAGGTCAATTTTGTGATGAAACGATGGTATTATGGTTTAGACCTCGATTTCGTACAAAAAACTCGATTTTACGCTGAAATCCTGCATTTACGAGAAAAATGCCACTTAATTCAAGTTGTAGAGGATGAAATTTTACGCTAGAAAGTCGTCTTTGTAAACGATAAAAATCAAATTGAACTAGAAAAACTCACCTCGGTATTTATTTTTTTGGTCCTCAGAATTTCCGAGGTCTTACAAAGTAGCAGTTTGAAAGACTCATTTTTTACGAAAATAAGTCGAAACAGGGTATAAATGAACTGTAGGCAAGTGTTGAGGATGCAAATGTCATCAGAACTTCCTTAGTTTCAAAAAAAGTTCCAACTATTTTGCACAATCCTCCAAAAAGTGTACGGCTTGAGAGGCAGGATCGTGCTATAATAGTAAGGGAGAAGTGCGGTTTGACCGGGAAAAATTCCATTACAAACTTTCCCGATGTAATCGTCATCAGTAGGTCCCCCTGAACGAATTCCTAAAATTTAAAAATGGTCCGACTCCGGAACACCCCTCAAAGTACTTAAAATTGAAAATGGCGGCCGTAATAAGGAGGTCCGGGAAATCGGTATTTTAAAATGCTCATTCTGTCTCATGTGAGGTATCATTTCCTNCATCTTTGATTTGGAGTGCCCCCTTTGACTGGGGGGCCTTGTGGAGTTTATTTATGAAATCTACGACCAACATTACATAGGAAATGATACCTCACATGAGACAGAATGAGCATTTTAAAATACCGATTTCCCGGACCTCCTTATTACGGCCGCCATTTTCAATTTTAAGTACTTTGAGGGGTGTTCCGGAGTCGGACCATTTTTAAATTTTAGGAATTCGTTCAGGGGGACCTACTGATGACGATTACATCGGGAAAGTTTGTAATGGAATTTTTCCCGGTCAAACCGCACTTCTCCCTTACTATTATAGCACGATCCTGCCTCTCAAGCCGTACACTTTTTGGAGGATTGTGCAAAATAGTTGGAACTTTTTTTGAAACTAAGGAAGTTCTGATGACATTTGCATCCTCAACACTTGCCTACAGTTCATTTATACCCTGTTTCGACTTATTTTCGTAAAAAATGAGTCTTTCAAACTGCTACTTTGTAAGACCTCGGAAATTCTGAGGACCAAAAAAATAAATACCGAGGTGAGTTTTTCTAGTTCAATTTGATTTTTATCGTTTACAAAGACGACTTTCTAGCGTAAAATTTCATCCTCTACAACTTGAATTAAGTGGCATTTTTCTCGTAAATGCAGGATTTCAGCGTAAAATCGAGTTTTTTGTACGAAATCGAGGTCTAAACCATAATACCATCGTTTCATCACAAAATTGACCTTTAGCACCATTTAAAATGGTTGAAATTGACCCAAATTTTGGCAAACAAGCTTTTTTACCAAACGTCATTGATTGCCGCCTAGGGAGCGGAACATTTCAGACTTTCATTTTTTTTGACGCACCCTAGGGCTACCACTCTTTATACAAATTTAGGTGGAGCAATGTTGTTTTACGTACTACAAGATCATTGATAGGAGGTTCGCAACAAGAGTTAATGAAGTTCCAAAATGTTAACTGTTTCTCTGAATGTGGCATTTTCTCCTGCCTGATAACATTAACTGAGACAAAAAACCGGTTTCAAAATCTTGAAAACATTTTTTAACATTCATATGGTGAAAATCCTGCTGGGGTATTTTTAGTATATTTATTTCAGTTATATTTACGTCTGGGAAAATGAAGGTATAAGTCTTCAGATACAATTTCTAAATATTTTTTATTTTCACCTACAGTTTTTAACAATTTTTAATAGTTTGAGGGTTGATGATAATTAAAGATTCATTTTTTTTAATGATTTGAAAGTGTGTTTTAAACATTTACAGTGTTAAAAAAATTTTTAGTTTCTTTACACTTCAAATACCAAAATTTTACCCTTTGTAAATGTCGCTTAAAGAATCCTAAAGAAAGTTACCTTCTTTTACAGCAAAATTGTAACGGTTTTTTGACATTATCTTTTATAATGTACAAATTTTGTAATGGCTGGTGCCGAAAGGGATCATGGTCAAATTCTCAAATTGCCTCAACAAAAAAATGCTAATTTCACGGTATAATTTTGGATTTACTCCATGCTCCTAAAGTCTTACGAAAAAAAGAAACCAAAGTCACCCCTCTGAAAAACTGCCCACTGAAATTTTACAATAGCCATGATTTGCAGGTCAAAATAACAGGCATTTTTGGTAACCCTAGATTGTGAACGCAAGGACTCAGATCTTAAAATGGAAAGGCCATTCATTTAAAAATATTTAAAAAAGTAAAGGGCAGATGAATTTCACAAACCTGAGCATCCAGCTCCTACCATTAGTGGGGTGTTGGGCATAACTCTTATGATGCGATGACCTTTTCCAAAGTTAGATTCGATTTTCTAGAGACAAAAATCAATCGATTAAACTTGGCTTTTTGGAATTTGATGAGAGGGACCAAAAAACCGCAACTGCTGAAATGACAAAGTGTACCTACTTAAATAAATCACAGGGTCCATTCTGCTCGCTTGACACGGTTATTTTAGCTGTTGTATAACCTCCCCGAGTCCATGTTTCAAAAAAACAGAGAAGAATTAAATATTGTGATCTGCAGCATGACATTAAAAAATTAAAAGTGAAATGTGACCATCCACACCCACAGGAAAATAGACCTTGGTCCACGGAGGCAAAGTACTGGAGCAAACTTTTCTGGTTTGGAAAAAAAAATTGGATTTGATGATCTCGATGGATTACTCCCTCTGTGAACCTATGGAGCGAGTTGAAAGATGTTTGATTCATTTTTGTGTCATTAGAGGGCACAGAGGGTGTTGAGCTATACTTCAACAATATAAAATAATAATTTTACCAAATGAAGATAGATACAGTAAAACCTCGCTAAGTCGGTTTCCGGATAAGCCGGTAACCCGCTTTAGTCGGTAGAATCGCCCGGTCCCGTTTATCACCCATATAACACAATGCTAAATAAGTCTCGGTATCTCGGTTTGGTCAGATTCTGAACCCGCTTAACTCGGTGAAATTTTTCCATCTCGACCTGTTTTTCTTCGATCGTCACCCGTGATCAAGCGTAGGTAGTGTTTCCGTGCGCGGTGCGGGTCGGGTCAAGTTACGCCACGAAGGGTGAGCGAATCTCCGAGAAAGCGCAGCGCAGTGCGAGAAACGACATCGGAAATAGAGAGATAAGGAATCAAAAACACTCGATAACGACACGAAAGATGAGAACAGTAGAGAATAGGATATCTGATACCGCGTGTTATCTTATCGCGCGTGTGAAAACACGCATGCATAATTAAGCAATTTCACGCATCGATGAGTTGACAGGTCAAGTCGGCACCGGCCCCTCTCCCCCTACCATCTTGCATTGCCCTTCCCCGCTCCCCCCAGGAATCTTCCGCAGAGTTTTTCGGAGATTTTAGCGAGTATTGATACGTTGCATTTTCAGTTCAACGACCCGCCATAGCGGGTGGCCGCGGCGCATCACCGCGCGGCATGCCGCGTGGGGTGCGCGGGGGGTGATACGCAATGGGGTGCCGCGGCACCCCAACATACGATTAACCCGATGACTTCATGATGCCCTGACACTTACAACACGCAATTTCAAGTGCATCTCATGAAATTTTACTCTTTAGTACCATTTTCTTCGATCAAATGGCTCTCCTAAACACTCCTACAAGTCACTCTACACGCACGTTTGCGTTTGTCCAATTTAGGGCGCGAAATTTGAAAAAGCGCGGCAGGAAAAGTGGCAGTCCGCGTAAGTCGGTAACCCGCTTAACTCGGTAAATTTCCTCGGTCCCGATGAAAACCGACTTAGCGAGGTTTTACTGTAAGAAAAAGAAAATCTTTATATTTTCGAAGGATAATTTTATCAACTGAAAGCAGGAAAAAAGTTAATTGAATAACGATAATGAATAGAATGAAGAAGCCTCTCTAGAACAGCTGTTTTACACACTGCTCCTGCTCTGCTCGGCTGCGTTGCCATCGACATCCTCCCCCTCTTGAGATACCCTCAATAAATTGGTAGGAGAGAAAAAGTGGTTACGGCACGAATTATGAGTCCGGTAGATGTTCTGAGAGTTGCAACTCGAGCCAATCCGTCAGGACCTGCATGTAATCAGACAATCTGAGCCAATCTCCAACGCAACGGAGGAAGATGATCATTGTGAAGAATTACCACATTTCCAACGGAGAATTCTTGAGAGGTGCTGTGCCATTTTGATGCCTATTGTAAATTTTGAAGGTAGTTCCTTTGCCAGAAGTGCCAGAAACGGTTGAAAATCTTTTTGTGTATTGTCCAAGACTGTTGGAGGTTGGCAGGTTCCGCACATTGAATTGGGACTGGTAAAGAAGTTAATGGTTTACCAATTAAAAAGTGGCCCAGTGTCAGGGCCTCAAAATCATCTGGGGATGAGGAAAGAGGAACCAAAGGACGGGAATTCAGTGTAGCCTCAATTTGGCTTGTTAAGGTAGTGAACTGTTCTAGTGCTAGAACTGTTGATTTAATGGTTCTTTTTAGGTGGAATTTGAAGAGGCGAATTCCGAACTCCCGACGGCCTCCAAAATGTGGAGCCCTTGGAGGAATGAAGGTCCAGGAAACATTTATGGAACTTAGCAATCTGGAAACGTCAAGATTTTCCGGCAGTAATGCGAGAAAATGGTCTATATGATTATGTGCTCCTCTGAACGTCATTGAGTTGTCTGAGTGAATGCAAGACGGAATTCCTCGTCTCGAAAAGAATCTTTGAAAGGATGCTAAGAATGAAGTTGATGTTAGATTTGTAGTTAGTTCCAGATGGGTTATTGCTTTAGTTGCAAAACAGATGAATAATACTACGTAAGCTTTTACAACAGCAGCATTCGTTTGCTCTGAAGATTTAATTTAAAAGGGACAAGTATAACCCACACCAACTGTAGTGAGCATATTGGCCTGCGTTGCTTGACTGGCTGGTGAAGGTACCATTTGTAATTGAACTAGCTTTGGATGAGATCTCATACACACAAAACATTTTTGAACCGTTATTTTCGCGATTGATGGCCCTTTTAAAGGCCAAAATTGTTCACGCGCAGCGGCAAGAAGCATCTGGGGTGGAGCATGGTGGAGGCGAAGATGTTCTTGAAGAAAGAGAAGATCAGTGAAACGATGTTTGTTTGGTATGATTAGAGGATGCTTTGCTGCTCTGTTGAGTGCAAACTGTTGCAAGTGACCACCTACACGTAGTAATTGATTTGAATCCAAGGTTGGATGGAGACTTAGTATGCTGTTCTGTTATAGATCTGGTGTTAATGTTGACAGTTGTTGAACTTCGTCTGAAAAACTTTCTTTCTGAACTGCTCTGACGCATGTTAGTAGAGCTGCGTTGAATTCTTTAGCTGAGATGGGTCCAGTGTATTTAATCATGAATTTTTGATAAACCGTAGGCACAGCGCTGTTATCCTGATTACTCTTTGTAGGGTAGAATACTTGTTTAAGGGATTTAAAGGTAGGTTAATTTGAATGTTAAATGAGAGTTGTGAATGTCAGGTTTCTGATATTGTGGCTGGGGTTTGGAAGGCTTGCGTTGGTCAGAAAATTTTGTCCTTGATGAGCCAATGTGGTTCTGAATGTGGTATCAAAATCTTCATTTGATAAAATTATTAATTTATATTGTTGAAGTATAGCTCAACAGCGAGCTTATAGATAAAATTGATAGACAAAGAAAACAAAGGGAGAATGGGGCGATCCTATTGATTGAAACGGGTGGTTGAGCCTCGGGGGAAAATGATTGATTAACTGAAGGGTTTCTCGTGGTTTTACATGAGTTAATCTATTACTTATCTCTTCAGTCTATTGCAACCACCCACTTCCACCTAGCATTGCTCTATTTTTCCTTCAGCTACTTTGTCCATTGCTCTGTCTATCAATTTCAATGATCAGCCCTCGGAGTTGCATCATGATCTGGTAATTTTGTACTTTTAACACGGCAGATTAGAAGATCAAATATCTTCCTCTTAAAACTGTATGATTTGAACTGAAAATTTCAGAGTCCCATATTTCTGGTTTGATAAGATATTTTGAGGGGTTTTTTTGTTCCAGAAGATACGTAGAGCACTCCTCTGGGCTCTGGTATCAATCAGGACTCTTCGAGTTTCTGCAGACTATGGTCCCTTTTGCCACATATCACAAATAAAAAAGAACTCACACTAAGTATGCTGTATTAAGGAGACAGATATACGCTTTTTCAAAAACTATTAAAGTATATCAAAGTTTAATAGTGGTTAGGTCAAGTTAGGTCAATATAGAGCATAGGTATGTTGATTTCACACATAACTCACACCTGAACTCACACCCAAACTCACACAAAAGCAACTCATAGAACTTTTTGATGCACACTTCAAGCCAGAAAAGAATGTGGAAATGGCTTTATACAAATTAATAACCAGAAAACAAAAAGAAGATGAGACATTGGACGAGTTTGTTATTAATTTGAAGAATTTAAGCCTGGCCTGTAACCTAGACAATCAAAGGGATAAGTAAAATTGTCAAAGCGATTATGATTGCAAATTTGCTTCCGAAGTTTGAAGAGGTGAGAATCCAAGTATTGATGAAGCAGGATGAGACGTTGGAGAATGCCATCAAAACCATCAAAACGTTTGATGCATCAAGACGTCAGGTACAAGAAATGGATGCCAATGAACCTGTAGTTGGAAAGATCAACAGACATTATCAAGATAATGCAAGGCAAAGTGCAGAGCAGCGCAGTCATCGAAGAACTACCAACAGTGCAAAGTAGTATGCAAATGGTCCGAAGCACAAGGGACAATCAAATTGGAGGTACGGTTCTTCTAAGGTGCAAGCCGATGACTCGAGAAGGACGGGAAACTACAGTAGGGGCAAAAACTGTGGAAATACCAAACATTATTCTGGAAGGTGCCCTGCCATTGGGAGAAAATGTGACAATTGCAATGGGTCCAATCACTTCTCAAGAGTTTGCAAGGATGCTGAGCGAAAAGTGAGACTGGCGGATGAGGAGTCGACTGATAGCAACGATTACTATTCGGAAGATGAAGGTCCTGAGCTATTCATCGGTGCGATCGAATCCAAGCAGGAGGACGATCAGTGGTATGTAACTCTGAATGTCAATGACTACTATACAGACTTTTTAGTTGATACAGGTGCCCAAGCGAATGTAATCCCTGCTAATTTAAGTAAAAGAATAATAGGCAAGAGACCCATCCTAAAAACTAATGTCAAATTAACATCAGTTACTGGAGAAAAAATGCAAGTCGTTGGAGAGTGCAATCTCAAATGTGTTAATGAGCAAGCAAGCAAAGCCCATATAATTAAATTTATTGTGGCGGAAAGTAATACACCCCCAATATTAGGTTATAAAACTTGTAAGCAATTAGGTGTATTGCAACAAGTTAATGTAATTGCGGATGAATATAAATCAATAGTTCATCAATTTGAAGTGTTTAAAGGAATAGGTCGCATAAAAAATTGCAAGTGTAAAATGAAAATAAATGATAGTGCGAAACCGACAGCTGAGCCGGCAAGAAAAATTCCTTGTAAATTGCATAGGAGAGTTTGAAAAGAATTGCAAAGGATGATGCAATTAGGAGTAATTGAAAGAGTAACGGAACCTACTGAGCGGGTAAATCCAATTGTAACGGTGTCAAAACTGAATGGAGAAGTAAGAATCTGCTTAGATCCTCATGCCTTGAATAAAGAAATTATAACGCCAAAACATTACATTCCAACATTAGATGATGTTAAAGCAAAATTAAAAAATTCAACTGTATTTACAACATTGGATGCCAAATCAGCCTTTAGGACCCTAGAATTAGACGAAGAAAGCTCTAGACTAACAACCTTTGTCACTCCATTTGGGAGATTCAAATGATTGAGACTTGCCTTTGGTCTTACTTGTGTAAGTGAAATGTTCCAAAGCAAAATGTATGAATTATTTGAAGACATTCCGAATCTGATAATTTATATTGATGATTTTTTGATTTATGGAGATAAGAAGACACATGATGAGACCCTCAAAAGAGCACTCAAGAGAGCAGAGTAGCTAGGTCTTAAATTTAATTTGAAAAAATGTAAATTTGCAAAACATAGTTTAGATTTTTTAGGTCATGTTTGGTCAAAAGATGGCGTCAAAGTCGATCCCAAAAGAATTGAAGCAATCCAAAACTTAAAACCTCCAAAAACACTAGAACAGCTGCAACGGTTTTTAGGGATGATAAACTATATTGCCAGTTTTGTTAAAAATCTTCAATTAGAAATCCCAAATTTGCGTAAATTGCTCAAGAAAACAGTTCATTTTAAGTGGAAAAAAATACATCAGGAAGAATTTGATCAAGTTAAAGATTTAATAACGAAAGCTCCGGTGCTAGCATACTACGATGTAAATTTACCTATAACGCTCAATGTTGATGCCTCAAAAGACGCTGTAGGGGCAGTAATAATGCAAAATAACATTCCAATCGCATATGCATCTTCAACACTAACACAAGCTCAAAGTAAAGCAGGACAAATTGAAAAAGAATGCTTAGGTATTTTATTTGGTTGTACAAAGTTTCATGACTATTTGTTTACGTCGAAAGTTACTGTAGAAACAGACCATAAGCCATTAATTACATTGTTTAAAAGAGAAATTAGTAAATGTCCCATAACTCAACAAAGAATTCGACTAAAATTGTTGCGCTATAACATTCGAGTAAAACATGTACTTGGAAAACAAATGTATATATCAGACACCCTTTCAAGAGCTCCAATTAATAGAGCTGAAATTATGGAAGAAATTGAGCGTGACACTAATTTACACATAAGTGTAATAACTAAAAATCTTGCTATATCAAAGGAAAAAATAAATGAAATAAGATCAATGTATAATAGTGACTCAATTTTATTGCAAGTAATTGATTTCTGTAGATCAGAGTGGCCAGATAAAGTGGAAGGTGAGCTAGAGCACTATTTTCACTGTAGAGATAAACTGTCATACCATAATGGTATTCTCTATAAAAACTTAGCAGTAGTAATTCCATCTGAATTAAGAAAGCAAATGCTAGAAATTGTGCATGAGGGTCACTTTGGTATACAGCGATCACTGAATCAAGCCCGAGGTCTAATTTTCTGGCCGAACGTGTCAAAAGAAATTAAAGAAAAAGTACAAAATTGTCATGTCTGTAATATGTTCCAGAACAACAAGAAATGAGAAAGCCTGCTTCCCCACGAAATTGCAGATTATCCTTATCAAAAAGTAGGCATGGATTATATGGAATTCAACAAAGATCTGTAGGTACATAGTGATAGTGGATTACTATTCTCAATATCCAGAAATAGCAAAAATCAGTAGTACCAAAGCCAGAAGCCTCATAACACAGGAAAAATCCATATTTGCTAGGAATGGAATTCCTGAAATTATTTTTTCTGATAATGGGCCTCCATTTAATTCTGAGGAATTTATTAAATTTTGTAATCTATGGTCAATAAAATCTGAAATTTCCAGCCCTCAGTATGCTCAATCCAATGGTTTAGTTGAAAGAACAATTCAAACCCTGAAGAAAATGTTAAAGAAATGTGTAGAATCAAAACAAGTTCCTTACATAGCTTTATTGAATTTTAGAAATTCAGCTAAAGGCAAAATGCCTACCCCTGCGAAACTGTTAATGTCACATAATCTAAGAACAAAAATGTATGTCGATAAATCTAGGCTAAAGCCACAAGCAGTCCCATACGAGACATTTCATAACTTGAAAACTGAACAGGTGGAGCAAATGAAAAAATACCACATGGTTTATGGAGAATTATCAGAATTCCAAGCAGAAGACTAGGTATTCTTTAAAAAATTATGGAAAGGTGTTTGGGAGCCTGGCAAAATTGTTAAAAAATGTCAACAACCCCGATCTTATGTAATAGAAAGTAAAAATGGAAAGCAATACAGGAGAAATCGATTATTTATCAAACCTAGAAAAGACTGTCAGAATGAAAATGATCTAAATAGTGGTGATAAAATCTTGAAAAAACCTCAAACAGAGGACAATAAGGGTAGCTGCAGCGTAGTGGAAAAAACAGCAGAAGTACAAAAATCAAAGGCTTTAGAAAATGAGTGAGAAGAAGATATCCAATTTTTATTTGAAAGTCCAAGTACTTCTCAAATTGATCGAAATTCTAATAACGATCAGCAAGAAAGCAATAGTTTAGATTATCAAAGTCCAGTTGCTCAAAGTTCAAATGTAAATTTCCAAGATTCCTGAAAGGATCATGTAAAATCGCGAGGTAGAGGTTTAATGCGAGGCAGAATAATTATAGAGGAGCAAAGAATTAGAAAACCTCCAAATTATCTTAAGGATTATGTAACTAAGTAAAGAAATTAGAAACAAATTGTATGTTTAAACTGTGTTGAAAAAAAAAAGAAAAAAAAAGGGGGAGTTGTAATAGTGAAATATAGTATTAGTTCAGTCAGGTTGGCAATGACTGTAATGTCACACCTGAGAAGATAGTGCGCATGCGCAATTGCGCAAGGTGAAGGTTATCCAAAATGTGTTATCTGTTATCAATCATCAGCAGCAGCCGGAATGGCTTGTTCATGAGTAACGATGAATAAATCTATAATTCCGTAAAGGCGTTGATTCATTTTCATCTTACCGAACATAACAGATGCTTATCATTTTATTGTTTAAATGGAAGACAATGTGATATGATTTCTTGAAAAATATTCAGTTTTTCCTTCTCCAAGTGAAAAATATTCTACAGAACTTTTGAAGCAAAAAAAGACAGTTTCTTCCACTCTAAAAACAAACTAAGAAGTGAAAGCTTTAAAACACTGTAATCTAGATACATGCGTTTTAGATTGAATATCAATTACCTTTTCCAGTGTGCTCAGAGTAGTTCCAACCAGAAGAGAGACAAAAAGTATCGATTTACTAGGCTTTGCTTTCTCTCGTTCTGCGTCAAGTAAAAACTGGTCGAGCATTTGAGGCTTCATTCCTAAGAAGACAACTTGAGCTTTATTAAAAACAGACACTACAAACGAGAAAAAAAAAAAAAAAAATTAGAGTGAAGGATAAACGAGACAATAGACCCAAGAGGTTTTAACTTCAATGAAAATTGGAAAAATCAAGAGAGAAAATTTAGTGAGAGGTTTCTACAACGATGATGAGAAAAACAAAATGAAACAAATCCTGATACCAGTTTATAATGCACTCGTTAACCTAAAGTGATCATTACAAAGACAAATGTTTGTGGTGCTGCAATGCATCTTAAAAACGTTTCAAATGCTGAGGGTTGGGTTTAGCTAGAAAAAGCTACACTTCTGTTTAAGTTACTTATTCATAATATCATTTGAAAAGATTTGGACATAAAAATTCTGAATACTAGAACAATAATAAAAAGAATCGTAGTAGCAGGAATAAAATCAGGCAATTATGACTCAAGGGACCTTTTTTGTCATGAATAATTCTCTGACATCCATTGATAACGTTAAAATTCAAACATCAACAAATTAAATGTTTCCAGACAAAATAATTAAATTATTAGGTAAGTGATTAAGTAAATGATGAGAGCTGGATATAGACATAAGTATTCATGCAATGTAAACAAAATGTATTATCTATGAGTCACTTACATATACAGTGAGTGGTTTCAATACTAGCGGCCCTCCATGGTGAAAAGCACCTTTCCGAAGGAGCAAAAACGATGATTTGAGGTGATTTCAGAGTGCCTGTTGAAAAAATTAAGAGAAAGAACTGTGTTGAAAAAATTAAGAGGAAGACCTTTTAAAAACAGGAAGGTACTGATGGAGCTCAATTTGCATTTTCCAAGGAAGTCATTCCATGCAATCACCGACAAAACCCAATTATCTGATTCCGTTTAGGATTTTGGCAAAGTTTTGACATTTTTACAAAGGAAAATGAAAGTTGCTGTGATAACAAAAAGTTTCTTAGCTCGGCAATGCTTAGTTTCCAGAGTTGTTGATTATAAAGACGGGGAAAAAGGAATGAAACAATGTCAATGATTATCTTGGACAAAATGAAGAAGACACAAAGCAGAAAAAAAGAACTTTTTCATTTTCAAAGTGAAACGTAAGTCTGACGAGGTAGGATTTTTGGCAAATCATCTTTGAGCCTCCCTCATTGCATAACAATATTTATAATGATTTTTGTACTAAGTTTTTAAGCTTTTGTAAAAAAATACTTACACAAAGGATCTCTTTAAGCCTTTGTAAACATTCCAATTAGAAGATGTTACATAGGTACACCTACCACAGAACATTATTACTTAAATGCTAATGTGATTAAAATGTTGGGTGTTGATTGAGAAAAGAGTATGTAAGTGGAGCAATACCAAAAAACAATCACATGAAAATGGTTTCAATAAGTGCAAAAATAGGCGACTGTTATCAAGGCTGGTCTACCTATGGATTAGATTTACCTAATTGCAAGTTTTTTTTGGTTTTATTTTTGCACGTTGATTGACTGAACTTGAGGACCTACCTGACTTTATCAAGCCGAGTCCAATAGCTTGGGCCATGTTTCCAGCTCCAAGAAAACCCAACGTGACATCTGACAGTTTTGCCATTTTGACAGAGTTCACTCACTTTTGAGATTCCACTAATGAAGAGTGAAACCTGATGGCACTGAACAATGAGAACATTAGTGAGATACAGCAAATTCCATAGAGTATATCAGAGTCACAAGAGAGTCTCAGGAATTGTACAAAGAACTTGATCGTATGCAAAGGACTAGTTCTCATGGGTACGGGTAAAGAAAGACTAAACTCTAAAGATACATACTCAACTCCATTCCAATGTTAAAATCCTCCCATAAAAAAAAAAGAAGAAAAAAGTAAAATGCGCACACAATCTTCTTAAAAGGATAGGTCCCCCTAAAATTCAAAGTGCTATAAAAAAGTTTTAACTTTAACCAGTGAATATATCATTACTATAAGACCCTGTCTCAGTTTTGTAGCTGCATTGCATTATGATAGTGTTAAATGTCCGAAGTTGAGTCTCCTTTTGTTTTTCCCAGGGCGAATACTTAGTTAAAAATAGCTGATTTAAAAATGCACTTGCTTTTCAAATTAACTTTGAATGCCTGTTTAAAACTGAGTTTCATGTAATGAGTTGCCTGCAGGCAGCTTACCGTCTTTACCTTTGAATATGCTAGTGAGTAGATGCATCATAAGAAATATTGTATTCAACGGTAAAAACTTTGTGCTTATGACAAAATAACAGCAAAGGCATAGAAAATTGTTCAATTTTTAAACATTTTCCGGAAAAAACACAATTGGACAGCAAATGCTTTCCTTGTAATATGTTACCATTACAAAAATAAATCACTAATATAAAGTAATGATGTTAAAAATTAAAATCGGTCATTTAGAAAATTTTTGGTTACCTACATGCAAAATCTTGAGCCGCCATTTCAGGGCCTTTTCTCCGGTGAATATTTCTGCATGGGTGGATAAAGAAGATACAGAAGCTTCCAAGGAAAAACCGTTGGTTGATTTTATTTTTAAGAGAGTACTTACAACGCCCCATATTACGAGTAAGTAACTTGCAATGTCTTCATCAATGCTACTCATTTTCCGACTTCAACCTTCCGTAAGTAGGTATAATTATTACTTAATTGAACAGTTTTGTACCTACTGGTACTAATTAGCGTTAAAAAAATTTATTTTTGACTCTGTAATTATAATTTTTGGAACTTCTTGGCTTCGTTTGCCCAGCGAAATGGTGTGGAACCAGCATCATTTCTCCACTTTGTTACATACAGTATTCGGGCCGCTTCTCACTGTTTTTTTCTCATTTCTACGCACAGTTTGGGGATACATGTGCTTTTCTTCTTTTTTCTCCCGTTCGGGAGCGAGCGGTTAAGTCCAGATGCGTTTGCATCTCCAACCAGCCTGATAATAATTTTTTCCAGTTTTCCTTGTTTTTGAGAGTTGTTCAGCAGCAACGGTAGATGGCGCGAGGATCACACTTATGTGTCATGCCTCGGGTCATATCCATGACGGCGTTTTAATGCCGTTTTGGATTTTGCGGCATGTTAAGTTGGGTTCACTGACGAGTGTGATCTGCTGATGGGATCTAAAAGGACCCAAACCGGTATAGATCTCTCGGCATGACTCGCGATTTTGTATTCCAATGCAAACAGCTTGAGCTGAACACTGTCCGCCCTCAGTTTGGTACTGGTACTCATTAGAGTTAAAAAAATTTATTTTTGACTCTAATTAAAATTTTTGGAACTTCTTGGCTTTATTTTCCCCACGAAATGATGTGGATTCAGCACGATTTCTCCACCTTGTTACCTCCTTAATTCAACTTTACACTGATGGGGCAGTAGCAAACAAAAATAAAACATGAGCTTTTGGAAAACACCATACACAAAGTGTTTCAACAAGGTACATTTTTGGAATTAAATTAAGGACTTGATATTCATTGATTTTACTTCTGTTTAGTTGCTTTGCAATAAACTTCTCATGCTGGTGGTGCAAAGTATGTGAGGACCTTTACGACTTCACGGCATATACCCATGTCAACAATGCTAAGATTGTGCATGCATTCATCTATCTAGCTAAGTAGTAGAGTTGTACTTAAGTGTGCTCTGTTCTAAAATTTGCCTCAAAGTTTCTTCCTATTATTCTGAATATTTTGGCAGAGAAATTTACAAAAAGGGTGATTTCAAATACTTGTAAAATAAGGGGAAAGTTGCACAATCTTGGCAATGTTTACATGGACATGCTGTTTGTTTGGAAATAGGTCCTCATACGTACCTCTCAAGTCTCTTCCTCCTATAAACTCGTGAGCGATGAATATGCCTAGGTGCAAATGGCATTACATTCACTGCTTGCTACAAGACAATTCTAGGTAGTTCTGCAGTAAAATTATTCAATGTGTTTTAAAAGAATAAATATCCTATGGGTATGGTGAATTTTGAAGCAATATTATTGAAAAAGAGATAATAGCGCATACGAGTATTTTTATTTTGTAGTGGCCTTAATTTAATTTGTATTATGTTTTTTCTTGTATTAATAAAATGAATCTGAATCTGATCTGAGTACGCGAAATCTTGTGTCTTTTTTACAACATTGTCTTGTGACTGTCCCCTGCCAAAGTTTCTATATCATTAAAAAACTTACGATCAGAGAAGATGGGGTGAGGGTGAGAGCATGTGAGAACGCTGAAAGGTGTAAGGTGTTCAGGATTTAGAGGCCGGGAGGATACTCTACTGACAATTTAACACATTAGTAGGTTGCACATTGTCTGAGCCAAGCATTCTTCATAGGAGGAAGGAGACATGCAATTGATGCGAATGTCGAAGCCGATAAGAACTTGAGATCTCACACTTACTTATCAACTTGTTTACAAATTTACAATTGATAAGAGATGTAGAGTATGGCCATGGACCAAGAGAATAAATAAGGACCCCCAACTCCGGTTAGCGCTGACATCAGCGCTCCCTGGCAGAGGGTGTAGTGAACTAAACCGATGATTGGGTCTTCCTGTTTATATTTCCATGCACCACCTATTTAGGCTTATCACTCAGTAGTGCTCATAGAAGTTTCTAGATCGTCGTATCCTCGTGGTCGCCCTGCAGTTTTGAAGAGTTTAGTGTGAAAAGTTTCCCATTTTCATTTCAATCTTCGTCAGTCTTCGTGTACATAAACTGGTATTAATGTGAAGTGTTATTTCTAACCGTTTTACTCAGCAGCAACTGCTGTTGAGAAAGCCAAAGGAAGTGTGTATGTAGTGTGCAGCAGGAATCAGGATTGTACTT